GGAGGTGTTGCGCAAGCCGCCTCGCAACCGACAGAAAGGCACTTTGAGTCGGTGCGGAGTGACTCTCCTGATTCCGTGAATGCTCAGAAACGACACGCTAAATCCCCCTGAATAGCAGCCCTGGACGCCTATTCAGGACTGGCTTAGGGGCTTTGCCTGCGCTAAACACAGGCGACGTCGCAGATAAAGGACTCGCAATCTCACCAAATGATGTGATATCTGAGCAGCATCTTAATCTTAAACCTGGGATATTAGAAGAAAAGAATGCACTGGTAAAAAAAGACTCTCCGCCGCTTCTGAACTTAGAGCCAAAGTAATGCGTTCATACAATAGAAATAGGATTCCTGCACACACACATGGCTGTATTTCAGAGAAAGAAAGCACAATTACAAGAGCAGGGACTTAAATGTTGGAACACAAAGAAGCGTAGTTGCTTAATACTTTTGTGGTCTTCAGCAGGGCTGTCTTGCTTTGCTGTATCAATGGGTTCTTGACCCAAAGTGGTGCTTTATGGCTGCAAACCTTTAAACGCCAGGGGTTGGGGGAAGGAGGACCTGGAACTTAAAATACTTTGATTATACAAAATGAAATTATGTTCCTCAATCCAAGCCTTATCTAAATAAAACAAGGCTTCTACGCTTAAGTTATGCCAGAACGTTAGCTAATATCTGCCAAACATGTAGCTAATTACTCTTCTCCAACTAGCCTCCAGGGTAATTTCAATTAACTGCAACTGAAAACTGATTTTCACTTTAAATAATTTCCCAAACAAATGAATTGTAAGGCTTATAAACTAGTTTCCATGTTCTCCACGGTTCTCATATTTTGGTTCCCAGTTAGGAAGCAGTTGCAGTCAGTGCAGGCCTGACTTTCACTGAACCTGGGCTTGACACATTCCCCTGCAAGCTCTAATGGCACTATGAGATTATCTGCTAAACCCAGTACACAGGTAAGTACTTCTGGACGGAAGCCCCTTCTAAAGCTTCAAGGACAGCTCAAGGACCACCTACTGACTTTGGCACCACGTGAGAAGATCAGCCATCCAGCCACCTATGGAGATTCTCCCTTAAACCATCGTTGTTGGTGCGTGGAGGTTAGACGGCCATGCAGGGCAGCTGGCAGCCGTCGCTCACCGTCTTGGATTAGCGGGTGTGTCAGTGTTTCACGTCTCATCCTGGTTGAATGTCTGCCAGTTGCCTTCAGGAAAGCTACGAATAAGGGACAATGCTTCTTCAGTTCCTTGACGTAAAGGAAAGCTGTCTTTATAAAATGTACAGTAATCATGCTTACACAATCTTACAATGGTTATCCTCCCCCTAAATGTCAAATTCAGTCTTTGAGCCTCTTCAAAACTCGATAAAGTTCGCTGCATGCAGCCAAATGGACAGACCCGCTAGCTTGACGCCGTCTGAATTACTGTCTGCGAATATAAGGTGGCACCGGCTGCGGTTTGTGTCCATCCCCAATAACGACCTCGGCATCTGTGCACACCAGTGTTGCTGCCATGGCATCTAAGCTCCCCACGCCCGTCTCCCTCCGCTCCCTGCAGCTACATTGATCCAAAACAAAAATCCCACGTGCATTCTGGGAGGTGTGCTAATGAATTTCAGGAGAACTTGCAGACCACCTGTTTAAAATCAGTGCCTTAGCCCCCCCCCCCCCATCACACATGCTAAAATGTCAGTTGACAACCATCGACGCCGATTTGATGGACGGGAGAAACCAGGCATCAAAACCCATATCAAAGGGTGATCGGCAGGTACCGATTGGTTTGATGGACATTTGATGGGTCAGTGATTTGCAGCGCATGGTAATCCGTCCCATTTTCGATGCGTCACTTGGATGCTAATTATTACCATGACAACATGGGTTGCAGTTTGCAGCAGGGTATGTTAGCATCGTCGCATGGTGACACCTTTTAGATTGTACGATCTGTGGCATTATAACCGACAAAACTGTCATTAAAACATCAGTCAGGGTGTGTTTGATCACATCATCTCCCCTTATAACTATAACTGAGTATTAGCTAGTGAAGAATATTCATATTCAATTAAGAGGTGCCCTGAGGCCCTGTCCAGAATAATCAGGAATAAGTGGACAAAGTATCATGTCCTGTGATTTGCTGAAAGCCTCAGCTTGATGATCTGTTGACGGTAACCATTCGGCACGAAAAGCAGGTCTGTCTTCCTCTGATCTTAAAGGTGCCGACAGCTTGTCTTTGTTTTCATTGCTCCTTGTCACTTTGGAAACACGTGCAGGAATTATGGGAACGTCTCCTTTGACTCAACACAGATGTGGTTAATTACTGCCTAACATGTTATGCTTCCATTTTTCAGTTCGATGACTGAAATAAGCAAACTGGCAATGTGGAGTGTGTGAATACAAATTGCTATTGAATGACAGAGGCCGTCGTATTGGCTGGATATTTAGACTATTCAATGCAAATCCTTATTTAAAGAAGACGAAAAAATCTGCACAAGACTAAACAGTAATCATCTCCCATTCTGTGGATGAGTAAAATTGTTATCTTGACCCTAATCTCATTCTCGTGATAATTCTGAAGTTGCTGTGATACAAGTGGGTGTGATGAAAAATTTCAAAGGGGATGGTGACTTTATGAGTGATTTCTCCTAAATGCCTTCAAACAAGCCGGGTTAGCTTTGAGAAGCTGTTGGCACATGCTACCCTGATTGGGGGTGGGGGGGGGGGATTGTCTGCCATTCATTAGAGCACAACCAAGTCACCTACGGATCATCACGCTCTGCAGATCACAGGACAGCTCCTCCCCTGGGTCCTCAGTGCCACGATCGGCGGGGCTCGTACCACCAAATTACCTACACACCCTGTGAGTCAGACCTGAGGTCGAGTGAACATCAAGGGCAAAGCAGAGCAAGAAAAATCAGATAAGAAGCAGATCATGTCATTGCATAAGCCATGACCATGTTAGTATATAATAATAATAATAATTATTATTGATAATAATAATAATAATAATAATAATATTGCTTAGCAAATACAATTTTACAGGTTAATCATCCACCACAAGGGTACAACAGCAAAGCCCGGTAGGATTTAGACTCACATGATGCCCAAATATTAACCACTGCTCTACCTGCTGGCTTCATTTTTTTCTAGTACGAATTTTTTTGTATTTTTGAGCATTGCTCTTAGTAATTCTTGCACGTTTATTTTTTTTGTAGCCAAAATGAGCTCTTTTGCTGAGGTGATCTCAGTGTATTGGATGACCTGAGTAACATAAACAAACAGGTCAACTGAAACAAATAACATTCTTCCTGAAAATGATGAATGAAATTAGGCAGACATGATACCCCAGCCTCCTGTCCTGCCTGCGGCTCAGAGTTTTTGTACAATGTCTTCTTTAGGGAGGTCTGCGATGTCCACAGTCTTGGGCTATGGGGGGGGAGGGGGCGGGTTGTTCTGGCCTTGTACTCATCCTGGTTTCCAGGGTCAGCTTAAAGGCGTTAGCTTAGGAGCATTATCTTAGCTGCTTCCCCTTAGTCGTGTTAGCTTAGCGGCATTAGCTTAGGCGTGTTAGCTTAGCGGCATTAGCTTAGGCGTGTTAGCTTAGCGGCGTTTGTGTATCGGCATTAGCTTAGCAGTGTTAGCTTAGCAATGGGTATGAGTGCTGCATTTTGCCTCACTGACCAGTAATACGTGGGTGCCATATGCGTGTCCTGATTCCGTTATGTCCTCCACCTGGGGGGAGGGGGGGGGGGTCTCCACGCTGCTCTTGAAAACAGGTGGAGGGGGGGGGGAATTGCCGGGCACTGTCTTCCAGGACACGCTGTCCTTGGCCCAGCAGACGGCGTGTGCCCTGGAGGCAGAGCAGTGCTCCTCCTACCTGTCCCCTCACACCTGTACTAAGAGTTCTGTAGGCAGGTGGGGGTGGGATAGGGGCAGTGAACGGGGAGGAGGGGGTACTTGGCACTATTCTCTGTTGATACAACAAGCACACAATGAGCCCCTGCTACGGGGCATTAAGGAGCAGAACACAAAAGGGTGGGAGTGAGTGGGCTGGGGCAAAAAAACAACACATGTGCGCATGTGGGGAACTGAACACGGCCGCCATCGCCGTGGAAACGCGTGTAAGCAGCGGCGACGGGCAGGCATGGATACCCTGGCAGATTCTGGGGGCCCAGCAGTTTGCAGGGGCCCCAAACCCTGCTGTTGGGGCCCTCTCCGTTTGCCAAAATCTACCGAAGGGGAACATTCAGATTGAAAGCTGAAAGTGCCAAAACAAGTGGGGGGCCCAAGGTAACATTTAGTGCCCAGAATTTCTAGCTACGCCTCTGCTTGTAAACATCAAACAATGTAAATGCATGCAGTCACATGTGAGTTAACTCAGGTAATGTTAGCTCATATTAACTCTAAGCATAGTTAACTCCAAGCAAGAATTTCAGGTCATGTTAATTATTTCTAAATAGGCCCTTCATACTTAAAGATGGTCTCCCTTTGATTTTTATTTTTCGGCAATAAATCGAAATTGATAAAATCAAAATTGATAATCCTGTGATCATCAATGCACCCGCAGATAATAAGCATTTAAGTTAAATTATCGCACTACGTATAATTACTTTTTGTTCTGCGCCCACGGTCTGGAAAAATCTGGAAGGTTCTCAGGAAAACAGCTCCGACAAATGATCACATGGAATCGAAACGCTCTGTTTGTGTACAGACACATTGGCCAAGTTTTACAGGCCGTTGCACGGAAGAGAAACACGAGGGGGACCCCGGCCGGGGGCTCCAGACCCTTTCTTGTGAGTGAGACCTTGCCGTCCCATGGGACACCGAAACGCACCCAGAAGTCCTCCGCCAGCACACCCTCCTCCGGCAGCCTGTTGGCTGAGACCCAAGCGCAAATACAAAAAAAAAATAAAAAATACAACCCAGAGAAAAAGTCTGCACTGCCCCCGGGTGAAGGGGGAGGGAGAGAGGGGGAAGTGTCAGTGAGATGAGGGCGTGTGTGCGTGTGGGGGACGGGTTGGGATAGATCTCCTGAGGGAACAAGGTGTTGACTCACAAACGCTCAAACTCGGCGCCTCCTCGGTGAGGAGACTCGGATTGCGACTGGGCAGTTTTTATTGAGACGTGCGTAAGGTGCAGCATGGGAGCTGGGAGCTGGCCGCCGGCCCCCGCCAGCAGCAGCGCGGAGCACCGCGTGTGAGAGACAGCGCTTTCTCGGGGACCGGCCACCTCTGCGGATTCCAGGTGAGCTTTTGACTGCTCTCTTACCTTCACCTCACTGCTTACTGCTGGTCACAGCCTAAGTTCCTTGTCTCTCTGCTTCTGGTGGGTTAACCATGGTCTGATGGGCTTAACTGGGCAACCCAAAGCTTTGAAATGGTTACTGTTGCAGCTAGTTTGGTTAATAAGATGGACAGGTCCGCAGCTGTGAAAGTTCCATGGTGGAGTTCAGTAACATACCGTAATGGCTTTCAGGCTTTTCCTTTTAAGTTGTTTGGCTAGTTCCAGGTGTCCTGAGTTGCTTCTGTCCACTGTTCTGTTGGTGAAAACAATCTTAAATAATCTGGCATGTTTCTGAGTTGTTTTAGGGCTTTGCATATGACTGTTTATGTGTAAGTTGATATCAAGGTATTTTTTAAAAGTGGGGTTCTTGCTGGGCTAATTTCTGAGTGTAAATGATGCATGAATCCGCAGCTTCTTCTGATTGGTGCAGCATGTGACCCCGTCGAAAAATCGATATACTTCATTTTAACATGTGCTCATGGACGCAGAGTTTTGGGTTGTGAAACCCGGATGCCGTGATTCACGCACGAAGAGATTCGGCCCCAGCAGGTTCTATCAGATCTACCTTTGTGACCTCTGCTTCTTGGGAAAGTCTTATCTTCTGTGACTGTTAATTTCTATACATGAATACGATCTTCCATTGTGGTTTATATACATGGCTCATTTTATATGATACTGACTGGTTGGTGGATAAAAATTTAATGAAAATGTAATTGAAAATAATCAAATTAAAACGAAAATTATAAGACAGAATAAAGTAATAAGGCGACTTTATTCTTGCATACTGTTACTAAGATGTCTGCAGAGATTGAATTGTCCCCCCTCAACACCCCCCACTCATTAAAGGGTATTGAACCTGAAAAGTCAGTCCTTATGGGATGGCCACTCATTATTTTGACCCCTCCCAGTAATTTGGCAATTGCCCCCCAGCGGCATCGGGGGTGGGGGGCTTTTATAGTGTCAGGGTAGTTTAGGGCCCTACTGCTTGGTTTACAGTTAGTCTGTGAGCTGAGGGAAGGGATGTGGACGGCTGTAATAACGGGTTAGGTTAGTTATGGTGACCCGGTGGGCTGAGGGACAGGCAGCCGTAATGACAGGTTATGGGAATATTATGCAGAACGGGCTCGATTCTGGTGCTGGGTGTTGATATAAAAACAGATAGGAGGTATTGCGACATGGTACCAGAGAGCCGCAGAGATCTGGCGACAGCGATAACGGAGCCGCCAGCACCTCATCTGCTCGCCCTCTTCGTCCATATGGTGTCAGTGGAGCCGGATGCTGGGCTCCTGGCTCCGCCCCCGCCTCGTGGCACGCGGGGCCCTCACAGACGGCGCCCAAATCGAAGTCCTTGGCAGGGACGGCCCGCTCGCTCTCCCCCCGCCGGCCGTGAAGTCAGCGTGGCGCCGGCGTCCGAGCCAGAGCGGAACAGCGTGACGTGGGTGGGTGGGGGGGGGGGCTGTATGGGAGGGGCCACAGGAAGGCAGCATTTACCTGCACGGTGGAGCCTAATGAACATGGATGTTTTCTGATCTTGGGATGCGCTAAACAATACGAGATCCAACCAGGAGTCGCGAATCGCAGGGAGGATCGGCGTTGGCGCGCTGAAAGCCGACTCCTCCATCAGTCTCGAGTCCTGGAGCACTTTTGCAAGGAAATCGGCGAGACGTGGGTCATTAGCATCAGTAACAAAGGGAAAACCGACCCGTTTCAAGGGGTCAGTCAGAACCTGGGGGGGACGTTCTCAGACATGATCCTGTGTTCCATGAACCCACAACCGTCCGTGGGCCGAGCCAACTTTCGCGTGGGTGTTTAGCGTTGAAATGGAGATCCCTCTGTGAATGGGCCGTCCCTTAGCTCCGGGAACATTCAGGAAATCTCACCTTAGCGGAGGAAGGCATAGTCTCTGCCATGCGAGCCATGCACCCCCCCCCCCCCCACCCCCGAAACCCCCAAAGGAGGTTGGCAAGTTTTCCAGCGGACTTGACGTCAGGTGGAGGCCAACCTATAAGACGATCAAGGCCATGGGGGACGTGGTCGGTGGGAGAGGGTGCCTACGATGGCGTGGCCGCGGGCCACCAACAGGCCCCCGTCAGCGGAGTACCTGCAGCGGAGTTTCGGAGCTGCTTTGCGCCGGTCATGCTCTCCTACATCAATTACTCCTAATTCCTTCCTTTCTTGCTGCTGAACACAGGCTTGAAGCACGGCTGCAAATGCAGGGGATGATAACACATTTACGTCAAAAATAAATAGCCATAGAGCCAATGTCAAGCTCAAATAAGCTGGGGGGGGGAGGGAGAGGGGTTCTCTAGGTAGGAGATCTTCAGAAACAGCCGGCTTAAAAATGTGTGATGGGGGGGGGGGGGTAAAATTCTGCAAGCTTGGTGCCAAGCTGGCACTGGAGTCAAATTTTACTGCTGCTGATTGGCTCTTTATTCTCTGTGGAAACCCACTCGATACTAGGCTGGATTTAATAATAATAAAGAAACACGTCGTGGGCCGACTATAACCGTCCCACGGTCAGCACTTTGACACCCCTGCAGTAAAGTGTTTAGATAGCCAAAGCACACGCAGTGACATATAACACATGCTTCTATGCGTCCAGCGTGAAGGCGTGCTGCTGCAGATTGTCCTGCGACGCAGGAGCTGCTTCGGGAAACGTCATCAGCTTCCCTAACACTCCCTGTGGAGTAATGCCCCCCCTCCCAAATAAAAAACAGAAACATGAAATTTGACTGATGATATCCAGCATGTCAGTGCTGTCACTCGTCCTCCGTCTGTGTGAGACTGACAGGGGCCCGGCTTCAGAAGCTGCGGTTCTGGGGCGCGTTTGTGCAATCGCAGTGACAAGTGCAGTGCACCAACTGGCTCTGCGAGACAGCAGGTCTCCCAAAATGGGGAGTGTAAGCAGTAAACTGTGTTTTTCTGATATTCTGTATTCTTACCTTTCTCGTAATGAAATAGCCTTTAGCTGTATAAATGGGCTAGTTCAGGTAGCTCTTGAGCCTCAACTTGCACATATGCAGACATGCTCACTTACACATCTGCATATGCATGCAAACAAGTGCACACACGTGCACAAAGCCACACATATGCGTCGTCATATCACGAAGTTACTAAAAAACATTTAATCATGCATATCAAAACAATACAACATCCCATGCATGCGTTTCAATTTTCTTTAAAAACCATAAACAACTTTCTCCTCTCTCTGCTTGTTTCCAAAATAAAAGAAACGATTAACAGAAAATATCAGAGGATTTTTTGTCCAAAACACAGAGCCTGCTTTGTCAGCAGCACCTATTAATTACGAAATGCAGCCCACAAAAGAATAAATAATAACCTGCAGTTGTCAGTACAAAAGCAAAACCATGCAAATTCATATGAACCACATAACGCGGCTCCAAGGCTGTGCTCGCCCTTGAACGTCACGTTAATTGCCTTTGTCCTGGCGTGTTGGGACAGGATACAAAAATGTACAAGTTAATTCTGTTCAAAGATGGGGCAACCTTTTCGCTCATTGTGCCTCATTCACATAAAAGAGTGAGCAAACATCAGCGGTTGGGAGAAGAAGAGGGCAGCATGTAAAGAAAGATTTAAAGGTTTTATGCGCTGATCATGAACGACAATATATATAATATAAACCCTCCTTTTGAAAATGAAGTGCGGTGGCCCCATTTTGATGTGTCATTTTTTTTAAAAGCCGTGTGAAAGTTTTGAGTAGCTTCTCTTTCGATTACTTATCCTGCTGTCCTGTCCTCTCTCTCCAGGTTTGAAGATCTATGAGGAGCCATTAAATATGGGAACAATGAAAGCTGGGATGCTACTCGGTGTTGCTGTATTTTTACTGCATGTGGGAAGCTGTCAAAGGAGTCTGGGCAAGGGCTACTCTCCAATGAGCTTCACCCACCACCTTTACAACGCTACCATCCCCGAGAACTCCGCCCCGAGGACCTACGTGCAGAGCCCGGTGAAAATGGGCATTGTGATCTCGGACCAGTTCTGGGACATCAAATACAAATTGGTCGCCGGGGATGATGAAAACCTTTTCAGGATGGAAGAGGTCACGGTTGGGGATTTCTGCTTCCTCCGCATAAGGACTCGAGCTGGCCAAGTCCCGTCACTTAACCGTGAAGTGAGAGATACCTACACGCTAACGGTGGAAGCCACTGAGAGCCTTTATGACTATCAGGCCAGGACGAAGGTGTTGATTCGAGTGCTTGATGCTAATGACCTCAAGCCCCTCTTCTATCCAGCTTCATACTATGTCGACATCAAGGAAGACACATCAGTGAGAACCAGTGTGGCTAAGGTCAGTGCCACAGATGCTGACCTCGGAAGCAATGCAGAGTTCTATTACTCATTCACAGAAAGGTCACATCCCTTCACGGTGGATCCATTCACAGGGATCATTTCTGTCGCTAAGAAACTCGACTACAGTCAGGCATACAAGTATGACCTCACTGTCTTAGCTGAGGACCGGGCCAAGAAAATTTCTGGAACACGAAAGTTTGGGAATGTTGCTAGGGTTGTTGTCAATGTTGACAAGGTCCCTCCAAAGCCCCCCCTCATCAAGTCCATCAACATAACAACGCCTAATGATGACAGGATATCGGTAAATGTCATGGTGGAAGATGGGCTGAAAAGGGTGGAATCTTTAAGCATCATTGCTGGAGATCCGCTGAAGAACTTTGAAATTGTTCCCTCTAATTTGGAAGGGCATGACTTCCAGATAATCTCTACGAAAAGGATGAACTGGTTGCAGAATCCCTTTGGTGTAAATCTGTCCCTTCAAGCCAAGGACAGAAGCAGTCCCCCTCTGCTTTCCCAGATAAAAGATTTACACATTCCTGCGAAACAACTTGACTCCCTGAGGTTTGAGAAGGAAGTATACCATGTTGCTCTAAGTGAATTTGCCCCACCAAAAAGTCATGTGGTAAGGCTGAAGACCATACCAAGCTACCCAAATGTCACATACCATATCAAAAGTAACCCAGACAGTCTGAAATTTCACATCAACTCAAAAAGTGGCATAATAGTGACCACCGAAGGCATGGACTTTGAAACAAAGTCTCGCTATGAGTTTACTGTAGCAACGAACCACAGAGGGACGGAAACACAGATTGTTGTTCATATTATTGACGAAAATGACAACACCCCATCATTTACACAATCCTCTTACCAGGGGACACTTCCAGAGAATGTGCCCATAGGAAGTAGCATTTTAAGAGTGTCTGCCACAGACAGTGATACCGACAAAAACGGCTTTGTGACCTACGCAATTGCTAACACTGTCCCTGTGCCCTTCGTGGTTGACCCATTCACCGGGGTGATCTCGACATCAGAGCTCCTGGACTACGAGCTCATGCAGCGCTTGTACCTCCTCCGGATCTGGGCCTATGACAGCGGTCATCCCTTCAGCCGCGTGAGCGAGTCCAGCGTGAAGCTGCTCATGAACAACATCAATGATAACATCCCTTTGTTCGAGAGGGTTGGATGCAATGTGACCATACCACATGACCTTGGGGTTGGGGGGAGTGTCGGTGTCATGTCTGCTGTGGACCTGGATGAACTGGAGCAGGTTAGGTACAGGATTGAGGGTGGCAATGAACATGGTTTATTTGAAATCCACCCAGTTTCTGGAACCATCAAGCTTGCCAAGAAAATCCACCCAGCCTTGTTTGCTAGTGGGATGCCTTCGTTTAGCCTTAGCATAACTGCCACTGATGGTATACACTCTTCATCTCCTGCTACAGTAACTATTTCGGTTGCCCCTCCCGGTAAGGAACCTAGCATGAACTGTGAAGAAACGGGGGTTTTTAAACAACTGGCGGAACAACTAATCAAGTCTATCAAGCCTGATACGCTTGTCCAGGAAGAGGATTCTTTCTCTGATGTTCATATCATCAACAGGCACTCGCCAAAGTTCAATGCGGGCCTCCCAAGCTCCATAGACATCCGTGAAGACTTCCTGCTCAACTCCACCATTGTTCACTTTAAGGCCACAGATGACGACACCGGTTTCAACAGCAAACTCTTGTATGCCATCTCAAGTGGGAATGAGGACGGGTGCTTCTGTATTGACATGGAATCTGGAGAACTTAAACTTATTTGCCCATTAGACAGAGAGACTAAAACATTTTACATTTTGAACATTACCGTCTATGACTTGGGGACTCCACAAAAATCTGTTTGGAAATTCCTAGCAGTGAACATTTTAGATGTTAATGATCATCCCCCTACGTTTGACCAGACCAGGTATATCGTAAGCATACCGGAGAATACAGAAGTAGATAAGAGTATTTTTCAGGTCCGTGCGGTGGATTATGATTTGGATGACAATGGCAGCATCAGATATTCCCTCTTGTCTTCCACAGAGACATTCCAGATTGATGAGATAACAGGAGTAGTTAAAGTAACTGCACCCTTAGATAGGGAAACGTATAGGAGACATGATTTAAGGATTGAAGCAAGAGATCAGCCAAAACAGGATCCCCAGCTGTTCTCTATTACAGATTTGGTGGTGGTTTTAGAGGACATTAACGACAACCCTCCAAAGTTTGTACCAAAAATGTATAAAATTAAAGTACCTGAAGATGTCCCCTTGGGAATGACTTTGATGTGGGTCGAAACGTATGATTTTGACCTTGGGTTAGGAGGAGAAATCAGTTATAACCTTAAGAACAGTGAGAATGGCATGTTCTTCCTGGACATTCTGACGGGGGCTCTGACACTTGAGAAAGAGCTGGACTTTGAGAAGAAGCAGTTCTACAACCTCACGGTGCGAGCCGTGGACCACGGGAAGCCTCGAGCCCTCTCGTCCTCCTGCTACGTGGAGGTGGAGGTCCTGGATGTAAACGAGAACCTAAATCCTCCCGTCTTCTCGGAGTTTGTCTACATGGCGACGGTGATGGAGGACACTGCCGTGGGCACATCAGTGCTGACCTTGATGGCAGCCGACCAGGACCAAGACCACGATGGGGTGGTGAGGTTCCAAATCCACGGAGGGACGGGCCTCGGCGTATTCACCATTGATGAGGAGACAGGTAACCTGAACTGTGCGTGAGCGGCACAAAGACTGAGAATCACTGATATGGATATAAAGGTTAGAGGTTATAGCCTAAAGAGACACATTCCTATCATTTGTCAGTATAGATCAGAGCAATGAAAATGAATATCATGCAGGAAAAGGGCACCTTAAGGCATTAAATGGGGCTGTTTGTTTTAATTAGCTGTCAGTTATTTTTGTACAATTTTCTATGAACTTTCTTATTTCAAAGAAAAATAAGAATTTCCTCCAGTTTTGACTTTTAAGGAATTTCATTTCACACCATGCAATGTCCTCAAGGTTGAAATGCACCTACAACATATGATTTGGTATATTTTGTTAGCTTGTCTGACCTTCGTATTGTGCAAGAGTAATTGTTTATAGTTTTAGAATTGGTTTACACGCATATTGGCTTCACACTAATTAGTTTTCAGAAGGATGATGAACTGGTTCTACGTGTTCTCATTCTAACTAGACTTAAAGCCACATTTTTCTTTTCGTCTTTGTCTGTCATTTGCTTTAATGCCATAACATTTCTGACTGCTGTCACAGGACTCATTCGTACAGCTGATACCTTGGACCGAGAGGTTGTTGGCCACTACTGGCTAACAGTCTCTGCTACCGATATGGGCACCGTGCCCTTAACGTCCTGGACGGAGGTGTACGTGGAGGTGCTGGACGTCAACGACAACCCGCCTGAGTTTTCTCAGCCCGTCTACTTTGGCTCGGTCCTGGAGAACGCCCCCGAAAACGAGTTTGTGCTGCAGGTTGCTGCCACGGACGTGGACAGCACGTCTGAGGGCAAGCAGACCTTCCAGATCCTGGAATCTCAGCGCACATACTTTGCCATTGACCACAAGACAGGTAAATGCCGAATGTAATCTCCAGAAACGTGATGCCTGATGAGCTCCCCCACTGCTATTAGCAGATCTACAGGGAATCCAGACAGTGTTCCACCCTTTGTCTACAGCAGTCACATACCTTGCTGTTTGCTCCTGGATTCGTGAATCATTTTGTTCATTGATTATTGCAGTCTTACCGCAATCTGTCCTTTAGCTAGCTAGGCAGGACGATCAACGGGCAGCTTGTTAAAAGTTACTTTACTGTAGCACATAATGTTTCCTATAGCTTTGCCAGGAGCTCATATGTAATGCTAAGTTGTATTTTTAGTATCTGGCTAATTGCTGCATGTGTAGCATCTTGAGGACAAAAGATGGCAGAAAAATTGTGCCCACCCCCGCCCCAAGTGGACATGGCCTGGCTGAGCTTTGAAGGACTGAGTAATTACGCAGCCTTAACCGCTATTACAGGCTAGAACTTGTTTATCCCCAACAGCTAATCCCAGGGCCCCACCCCAGGTCAGTACTTAAGGATTACGGAGAAAAAAATAATTTGGTGAAAGCTACAAAGCCATTGAACAAAAGTCATGGCCTGAAGATTTGTGTATAAATCCCATGTTTAAAACCTTGAAATATGAATTAAAAAATACTTGACATTATATAAGCGATTAACAAATATTTTCCTGTCTTTTAACTGACTGTTTCTGATTTCAGTAGTACCAGCAAATGACGTTTTCTTGATAAATTGCTCTATTTTAGCTGTCATGTATCTTTGTGGATTTTCTCAAGGGTCAACAATGTGATTATAGCCGTCATTATAACTGACACCTTCCTCTCAGGGTTTGAATTCTAGACATCACACTCAGAGTCATTGTACTGAATTGTTTCTCTGAAATGAATGCGCTGTGTTTGATTGAAGTGGCATTGTATTGTGAGGTTTGACTGGAAATACATTTAGTTATAGAGTAATAGCACTGCTGCTTTGTGGCACGAGGTAACAATGGTCTTGGGAATGCATTACGCAGGATTTGCTGAAATCAATAAGCCCTTAGCAGTTTTTTCTTCATGTTTGAGCAAGTGGTTCATGACTCACGTAGGCAGTGGGTTGCAGGTTCCAATGACACATGAGACAAGTACAGATCTGGCTGGACAGGTAGCTGGTAAAGTTGTAGTCAAAAAGATCGATTGAGTTCATGTGTTAATAAAGGATCCCAGGTTGGCAAAAAAAGAGAAATATTTGTGTGGGGGCATGAAAGTTCATTAAGCCAGAGGCATTCTGGGATGAGGATGGTGGATGATTCAACTAAAGCCTTAGGTGTGGCCGGACAGGGCCATCTGTGCAAAACAATGGCAATCTGTGTAAAAAGGGGGGGGGGGAATTAAGTATGGGGTGGACATGGCACCTTGAAGGCCAGTTCAGGCACAAACAACATCCTAAGCAGAATGGATTATATAGCAGAATTACAAATGTCCATATGCCCAAACAGTACGTGCAATTAATTGTGCAAAGAAGTGGGGGTGCATTTAGGATCTCATTTGCAGCCCCTGCTTTGTGACTTGAAGGGTGGGAAGCCTCTCTCTCATCACTCCATCATACAGTCAACCCGGGAAAGCTACACAGATAGCTACCTTATCGCCAAACCTGCTTCGCAAGCAGATGTCTGAGAACAGACAGTCCTCGTATCGAGAGTGTAACACCTGTGCTGTGACTCACCCAGAATTACGAAGGTTCCCCGGAGAAGCAGAGGTCCCTGTCTTAGCACACAGGAGTCTCCCTTCTTAGTTATTTTCTCATGGACACATTACTGACTTTATGTCCACTCATGTTTTCACTTTTCCCAGAGTTTTTGAGAAAATTCTAACTGTTGAAGTGCAATGTTTGGAGAGGGGAGGGGTATGTAGTTCCCACCAAAACTCGCTGTTAATTGCAAGGACTCTAAGAAGTTTACATGAAATGTAAAGCTTCGAAAACAGTGTCAAGTGGTATTTCAGCTAGAGTGCTTTGTCTATCAGGTGGACTTATGAGAAGAAGAAGCCCCACCCTGACAATTTGCCCCCCCCTCCTCATGTGTTTGTTTGTTTAGGTGCTATTCGGACTCTGGCCTCCCTGGACCGGGAACAAAAAGCAGAGCATATCATTGAGGTGAGTTATGGTTCACCGAAGAGCGGAACACCGACCCACACACAATCCACTTCATTTCATTCACGTTCCTTTCTTTCGTCGAAGCAGAAGGCAACCTTTATTTAAGCCTGAACTGAAAGTGGTAGCTGCTCTGGGATTTGCATGAAACAGCCCTCTGGAGGTGGGTTGTTGCAGTGAACATCCAGTTCACTGTCAGTGAACATCCAGTGAGCGGTCAGCAGTGTGCATGCTGACAAACTTCTCCGTAAGCTGCAGCTGCTGCAGTCCCACAGGGGTGACATCATAAGCAGTTGCCCGCCTCTTCTGTCTGACCCATGCAAACTCCATCCTGATTATTACATTACACATTAAGCCTCATTAAGCCCCTTCAATTCAATCCTCTTTTGCATATTAATTGGCTGCACTTATCTTTTGACACAAAGCGCCATGCGGCTTAATGGCTTCCTGGACGGACACTTGTATTTAACGTTCCCAGAGAGGAACATTTTAAGTGCCTGAGAGGCTAATGGTCCCAAAGTGGGCTGGGCTCCTTATGTCATATGATATTAACATACTAGATGTGAACAATTCAAACAAGGCAAAAGGAATTCAAATCCATCCATCTTCTCCCTGCGAGGGTCAGAGTGAAAGCTAAAATATATAAATAAAATTCATACTTATGTAATATCGACTTGGTTATCTAGAAGTAAAACACAGAACTTGAGGCTTCTTATGTAGCATACTGCTATGTGTTGAGGTTAAGGGAGCCCAATAATTATTCGCCAACTTTCACATTTGCGGGGATCTTTCTCCTCCAACCCTCGGGGATATTTCACCAACCACGCAGAGCAGAGGAACGTCTGTTCAAGGGATTTTAAATCCAGCCATTTTAAAAGTTTCTGTCTTTGTCCGGCATGTTGAAATGACCTCATTAACAGTATTAGTCACATACTGCCATTCAACTTATTTTTTTTTGTCACACCGACAGACGTATTAACACATGAAATGGTTTAGCATTCCTCTACTTCAGACCCTGTGCATTGCACATTATGAGTAATTCCTTTTTTCCCTTGTTTGCAACTCCATTGTCTCTGAAATGGCGTCGCAAACGTAGAACGTGCGCATTTATATACACATGGGTAATTTGCATTGCCAATATAGGGTATTTAGTGGGTGGGGATGATGTGGTCTGTTAAGCAAAAATACATGTGAATGTATCTACAATATGTGTTATATGGCCTGTACAATGCGTATCACGGTTTACGCAAGGTTTTATTATGCTTTTACTATTCATACGTTGGTCGAATTTCCGTACGAACATTTTGTCTTCCGCAAGGATTTACGAGCATTCTTCTTAAACATGGCCCCTGGCACCAATCCCAGGCAGCATGGAGCAGAAGGTTCACGTTCAACGGGGTGCCTGCGAATTGCAGGGCACATACAGCTAATTTACCTGTAGGGAACCTTCATGGCAAGGAATAAATATGCGTTTGGAAGGGAGTCAGGACCAGAAATGTGACTGTACTGGGGTTTAACCAAGGGAATGATAACAAGGCTAGAAAAGCAAGATTGAGGGACTGCAATCCAAATATAAATGGAAGCCAAAGACAAGACTGCAGCATTACAAAAGGTACAGAGCAAGTGTCTAACTTGAACGAGATAACCAAGCTAGACACAAGAAAAACACTAAGCAAACAGGATAGGCAACGACAGGGCACAAAGCAAGGCAACAGGAACAAGGCAACAGGAACAAAGTAACAGGCAATACATAACAGATAAAAGCACAGAATACTCAGGACTAAGTAAGAAGTGCAGGACCTGCAGGAGTTTAAATAGGTTGTAATTAGCCCCTGTTCACTGCCAGCTGTGACAGGTAAGCATTCAGGTCTGAAGCCACGGCAACGGGGAAGGTGGGCAGAGTCAGGGCAGAGGTGTTCACCCTGGCCGGGTGCCATGGCAACGGGGAAGGTGGGCGGAGTCAGGGCAGAGGCGTTCACCCTGGCCGGGTGCCATGGCGATGGGGAAGGTGGGCAGAGCCCTTAACCTTGGTGTCAGTTTCACAGAAAAAGCTATAATTGATTAGAGCACAGTCCCTGAGAGTGTCTAAGCCCGCCCTCCAGGTGGAACAAAAATCAACCTGCCACCCCCCTCCTCTTCCAGGTGACTGTGTCCGACAACAGCTCCCCCCCGCTGGCCTCCAGCGCCTCCGTGGTAATCCAGGTGCTGGATGTGAACGACAACAACCCCCAGTTCAGCCACAAGCTCTTCCAGGTGAAGCTGCCGGAGCGGCGGGGCGAGGCCAGGCCACAGGAGGTTTACCGGATGGTCGCCCGCGACGACGACAAAGGCCCCAACGCCAGGGTCACCTACAGCCTGCTGGACGACCTGGGGCAGTTTGTCATCGATCCCGACACGGGCGTGGTCTCCTCCCGGGGGGACTTTGTACCAGGAAACTACAGCATCCTCTCGGTATGACATCACACTGACCATCAGCCTATTAGCAGGGATGACTATCTCTGACGTGCGTCATCTATACCCTGATCTTAAAGCTCTATATCTACGTCTGTTCTCTCCCTCCTATTCAAGCTGCTTGTTTTCTAAGTGCTGGCCTGTCATTAGAGATCAAAGGGTCTGTGTTTTGTGTGCATCATACCCTGGAGTAACTGAGGTCCCACTAAACAGATAATTGCGAACGTAGTCATGCGTTTCAGCAGGCAGACGACCAGCCGGAGTGGCTTAAGGAAGTCTTCAGGTGATCTGAATAATAAACCCAAGACACGGGGGGGGGGGCAGGTGTGTGGCTAGGTGGGTTTGGACTTGGACGGTCGTTGGTTCGAATACTGGGGCCCTGGGGCCAGCAGACTGATGTCACTGTTGGGCCCCTGAGCAAGGCTCTTGACCCCCAGCTCCAGGGGATCTGCATACTTACTAACCCTCCACTGTAACCCACAAGCTTGCTGTTACCTGTCTGCGTGTCACATGATGGGGTTGGGCGTGAAGGCAATGTCCCCACAGGGATGGCTGAAGTGTCACTTCCCTATTTCCACCTGCAAGAGGAACTCTTGGGTGCCCCTGTTTCTCTGCTAGTGTCCTGTGTGGCTTGATGGCAAAACCACAGTAACGCGACTCCCATTGTCAGCTTTTTGTTTTTACGTGCGGCTACTGTTTGTCGAGGGCAGCGGGCGAGAAACGGCAGGTAGTGACATAAACTGAAGAAGGTGAATCCGTTGGTGGTTTATACAGCTTCACAATCTACTTCAGGTCAAAGCCACAGACCACGGCAGCACGATGAGGTCATCGACTGCACGCCTCGACATTGAATGGCTTCCCAAGCCAACGCCCACCTCCGAACCCCTGGCCTTCGACGAGCCACACTTCACCTTCGCTGTCATGGAGACAGACCCCGTCACTCACATGGTGGGGATAATCAGCACGGAGATTTCCTCCAGTCTCCTCTGGTTTGACATTGTAGGTAAGATGACTCCTCCATTACATCATCGTGGTTCTACTCAAAGCCTTCAGTCCACTAAACAAAATATTAAATACGAGCAAAAGCCACCTAGCATTTTGTATTTAGTTATAACATTTTGTGGGACTTTTTTGGGGACAATATAGCCATCACGTCACCGATGCTTGTGCTCTGCTGGATGTCATGTCAGTGAGCGTCGACTTGCGGGGGAGATGGTGTGTTTTTCACTGACTTGTCCTGCACCTTGTGCCCTGTGCTTCCTGGGATAAAATCCAGCTTCTGTGCATCCTGGTATCACAAGGGGCACGTGGCCTTTTTAAAAGCAGAGTCGGGGAGCCCCTGTCCCCAGAGGCACGTTAACATGATCAGCGGCCCGTGGGCAGTTGGACTGAGAGCCCCCTCCCCAAGGTGGAGGACATACAGGAATCAGGACACGCAGATGGCACCCAGGCAGTGGTCAGTGAGGCACAATGCAAAAACTCAGATCAGGGCTGAGCGGTGCAGAGTTTTCAGTTGACCGTACAAGTTGTTGAGAGAGGGGCGGCGAGGCTAAAAGTGAGGATCGCGGGGGATTAAAATGTTACTAAACGAGATTAGTTGAGGCAGAGGGCATAGATTTGGCGATGGATGATTGGGACATGTATGTATCTGTATGCGTTTACGGGGGTGGGGGGTCTTCAGGCTGATTTGGTCCTTACCAGTTTTGGTTGAGGTCCCTTTTTAATGGAGAGCCCATGGCATGAGTCTGGGTAAGCGGGGGGGGGGGGGGTCCCCGCCTTGCTTTGCCTTGCCTTGCCGATGGTACCACTATAAGAGTTGGGGATGACGCTTGTGGGCGTGGCTCCGGCCAGGTAGGGCACCCGGCGCTTGGCACCCATGCGGAGTCACGGCAGGCTGCGTGAGCACACAGCACCTCTCTTCAGGCCCACGGTGTGGGAAGTCGCCAGCGTGGGTGTTGGGTCCTGTCCGGACTTGAGCTCCCTTATCTTAGCTTCAGCTCTCACTCATTAGCCAATCCTGTTCTTATTTGGAATGGTGCGTTGAAATATGCGCGGCGATCCAAGAATGGCAACATCATCTCGTGAAGAGAAATATAAAAATACATTTTCTGACTCCTTCTTTCTAACATCTAAAATATCATTACTAACAGAACGTATATACTGTATGCCGTAACGTAAGCGTGGCTGCTGAAGGACTGATGCTTGTTTATTAAAAAAAAAAGATACATTTTAAAGTTTACAGCAATTGTTCTCTCAGCAGTGTTTTCCAGAGAAGAAAAAAATCATAACAGGGCCCATTTATTGGTTATTAAATTAAATACACAGTCTGTAAAGATCGGAAAGAGTGATTTATGGTCTGGTTAATAGAGCTGAATGTAATTCTGCATAAATGCAGGTCATGAGACTGGAAAACAGGCAGGCAAATGAGGGATTATTCTATTCCCGGCTTCCACATTCATGTAAGAAAGTGTTTTTCAGCGGCGCTGTTACTACAGAGTCTATAAGGCCACAGGTAGATGACATCGCAGGAGAAAGAGTACTGTTACTTAGTGTTACTCACTGTTACTCAGTGTCTTTCTTTGGTAGAGAACTGAGCCGCAGCCTCGCTTTTGCCTGGGCGACCCCTGTACCTGAACCTGCGAGGAAATGACCTCCCCAGCTAATAACCCTCTTTCGGTTCTCTGCTGTGGCTCGAGTCAGTATTAATAAATGCGCTTTAGACGCAGTTGGCAGTGGAATAAAAATACTGCAACCTTTTGCCGCAGCCGTGGGCATACGGCGAGCAACAGAAGCAGCCGGCAGGACACCGGAGAGGCGAGAGTCCCAGCCTCACACCGGCCCGGCAGCAGAGATGAAAGGGCCGGGCACGCAGGCGCGCGGGCGCGCGGGGGCGCGGGGGCTTGGCGGGTGGATTACTTCACACGCACCATCTGGGGGAGGAAGCGTGAGTCCTTCCTCAGTGGCTGCCTCGTCTGTTAGGGGACTGTGCTGCCAAATGGTTCCCCTTAAATAATCCCCCCCCCCACCCATGTGACACATCCACGCCACAGGGAACATTCTCTGTGATTTTGTGCCTTTTATTAGTGTTGGGAGTAGAGTTGCCGCCCCCACCCATCCCGGTTTTCCCCCATTTCACAGGAAACCTAAAGCGATGTGTCCCATTTTGAAGTAATACAGGACATGTGACTTGTTTCAAATTTCATGATGCCCCTCCGCTCGGTAGAGTTTATCATGGGGGAGCCCCCTCCACTCCACAAATTTTAGTTCATGGGAGTTTTACTTGCACAAAAAGAACAAAATATGATTGGTTCAGAGAGATAACCAACCAGATTGTAATGGAGGTGGGTCCAAGCAACTAGAGGAGGTGGGACCAAGACACCTGATTGGTTGGTCCTACCCCCTCTAGTTCCTTGGACCCACCTCCTCTACAATTTGGTTGGTTATCTCTCTGAAACAATCATTTTCCATTCTGCCCGCAGAACACTTGTGTGTTAGTACAACTCTCACAAGAATTTTAATGTGGGGAAATTCCCCCCCCCCCCCCTAACCTAACTGTAGGAGACTTGCCACTGATCCCCCTCCCTCTAGTCCTGGGTAGGAGTACACATGTGGTCTTCAAGAACAACGTGTTCCTCTCCCAGGATACTGCCCCCATTATAAAAGCTGATAGCTCACAATGTTATTCAGGCAAAGCCAGCAAACTGGTACCTGGTGGTTTAGGCTCTGGGGTCACTGAAAGGAATATAAGGGGTGTAAGGCTGTTATATCATTATTATTATTATTATTATTATTATTATTATTATTATTATCATTATTATTATTATTATTATTATTATTATTATTATTATTCCTGCCACTTGCTTCATTTGTTGGATTTCTGATGTCGAATTCCTTTTTAGCCCAAACTGCATTTCATGCATTTTGAATTAAAATATCAGACTTAATGACTTAATGGCAGAATGTTGAAAAATGCAGCTTGCATTCCATGCTGCAGGGGTTTGATATGTCTGCGGATGTTTGAAGGTGTCGGGCGTTTTTAAGGCTCATTAGGAGTCCCGCACTGATGTGAGGGAGCAGTAGCTGCTGACTGTCTTTCCTGCTGCCTCCTGCTGGTGGCGCTGTCCTTTTTGGGGGACCATGTGTTGGCATGTATGAATACCGCAGCCTGCAGGGGACAGCCCCCCCCCCCCCCTTTTGGGTATTCTGCTTCAGGGGGACCCTTGAATCAAAGGACTACGGATACGTGGAGGTGGATGTCTGTTTTAAACCACTGTCAACACATGATAGGTGGCGAAGGAGCAGAGGACTTTGATGTGGAGAAGAACAGCGGAAGCATGATGATCGCCAGGCCACTGAATGCTGGGAAGAGGTCCAATTATAACCTGACAGTCAGGGTCACTGATGGAACCAAGGCTATAACCACACAGGTGGGTAGATTAATCCGGACATAATGATCCAATGTTTACACAAGGGTTACTAATAAGTCCGGAGGATGCAGGTTTGCTTTTACGAAGCAAATATGAAAGCTGGCCGATTCTCAAGAAGTGTTATGGAGATTTTGAGCAATTAGTGGGTAATACGAATTGTATATACACATTTCAAGAATGCTGATCTGGTTTGATTTGCTAATTGACTAGAGTTGTAGGTAGCACAAAGGTTAAGGGTTGCTGCTTGCATTAGTACCCTTAAGTAAGATATTCAATTTCATGGAGTAAAAATATCTAATATCTGTCTAATGTGACATAATTTTGTGGGTAGCATTTAGGCATCTTATGAGACTAGTCAAAATGTTTGGTACTGATGTTTCATGCTTTGTAATGTCAGGCCTACATACGTGTGCTGGATATGAACGAACATCGTCCGGAATTCCTTGAGAAACATTACGAGGTGATGGTGCCAGAGGATACCGCTCCTTGGAAGGAGATCCTGCAGATCATCGCCCGGGACGAGGACATCAACAGCAGGCTGGTCTACACCATCCATGGCAGCCTCCAGTCCGGCAGCGTCGCTCACTTCCACCTGGACCCCAAGAGCGGAATTCTCGTCTTGGCCGAGGAGCTGGACTTTGAAACCCTGCCAGTGCATACGCTCATCATCATGGTAGGCGGCCCATCCAGTCGTCACTAATGTGTCGAGGTCTTTCAGAGGTGGCAGAGGAGCACTTGTTGTGAACACAATAACAATTTACAACCATGTGGTGTCGGGGGAGGGGAATAAAACAATCCTTCGTGGTACATGAACATTGGTTCATTGAGTTGGTATATTAATTGAGTTGGTATATTCATTGAGTAGGTACATTCTTATATTGGAAACCTGCATATAGAATAATTATTACCACATCAATATCATGATCCAGGTCCATAAGATTCTAACAGGTTTGGATGCTGTTCAACCAAATAGTTACTCCAGCATTAGTTCAAATACAAGAACTCGTGGCCATAGGTGGAAATTAGCGGGAGAACATTTCAAACTGGATTTAAGGAAGCACTTCTTTACACAGC